ATTAAACTTGATTACAACACGTCCAGTTCATGCGGTGGCGGCAATTTGATGACCATTGAGGTGCATTGGTAACAAATGTTATAATTGCCCCACTTCCGACAGATAATAACACTTACGCCATACTCCAGTAAAACAAAACACGATTTTAAAAACAGTTTTGAGGTAGATAATGGCAAGCATGCCATTAACAGCAATTAAATGCACATGAACGTGGAAAAAACTCTTAACTATTAGACCCTAGAAAACTACTACAATCCTTGGTTTTCAATAACGTGTGCGTCCGATTTCGGAGAAGGGATCTCGAAAGATCTCAACAGTACATAAAATATTAACGTTGACATTTTGTGGTTAACGCCTACACGAGAGTAAATTACGAAGACTACGAACAGACTATTCAATGTTTAATATACTTATATTTTAACACATATTTCACACAAGCCGGAAACACAATTTTACAGACTGAGGCGCTTTGCACTCGCTCTCGATTTAATTTATCACTTACGCCTGAGTTCATATGCAACTTATACATAAAACAGTGTCATACAAACATATCATTGCTTTGTAGACATGTGTTCGTGCCCAGGCACTGGAAGTTTGAACAAAATAAAACACAATTCAAAAACGGAAATCGAAATCAGTGTTTCTTATACATTTTTAGATGAATCGTGTTGTGTGTTCTGACAATTGAGACTGCATTCATTATCATCTAACGAGGTATTGACAATTTCTATAAATCGAGGGAAATTATTTTAGTAAGCGGGACGTGTTTTGAAAGAAATTGAAAAACGATACAAAGGAATAGTCACGTGGGTGGAATGAAAAGCGAGGCGGAATGAAGAAGTTCATTGAAAATAATTGAAAATAAGAAGTGTTCTATCATGGATGGGTAACGGTACATTAATCGGTTCTAGCTGGGAATAATTGGTTATTAGGGCATCTTTACCGCCGAGAGATGCCTTAGATACTACAGCATAGTCTCTAAACACGTTTGAACCAATACTGACCTGTCCATTGGGAATCCTCACTCATTGCATCAAGCTATCACTCATGGCGTTAGTCGGTGCATTGTTATTATAGCATGGCATACCAGCTGTATTCAATCATGTTATTTAATCCTAAGTTTGACGTTCAAATGTATAAAGTATACATACAGCAAAATCTCATACGCTAATGCAGAGGCAGCGTTACATAGTGTGTATCAATGCAATATATATGAGATATATGGTTTAGAATCCTCGTTTCCAAGAAAATCGGATTTTGTTCAATAAACACATTTTTCCCTTCCAGTAAACGTATATTGCACTTGTATTCTTGATACAATGGATTTTGGTTTGTCTTAATGTTATGTATGTCGTTGGCGGTGTATGCACCAGTTCGCGGTCAACGTGTGATATGTGTTACACCGAAACTGTTGTTTATTTCTAGACAAAGCTATATGAGTTGTGAAAAAATATTCAAGTGACAGAATTCCGAGAAAGTGACTGTGAAGTTAATGTGTGACCTTTTTTTAAATATATCAATCGATCATGCATAATACATATCAATACGACTGAAATGCATATTTTATATGTTTCAATTGAGCGATGTGTGTCAATGCCATGCAATGCACGCATACGTGATAGGGTGCAAAAAGGTCAATTTCGATGCATTACACTGAACTTGTAGAACCATTAACGTAAATAATACAATTTGCGGTTTTTGAAAATCTTTAAACTAAGTAGTTAAAGAGGAATGGAACAATGTTTAACTATATAGAGTGAAATACTGGGAAAATGTGTACCTGTCAATACTTCAATACTACCCACGCATTATGCTAATCAAGATATACTGCGTTTGGAAATCTATCCAAAAATAAAATAAATTTGTTAATTAAGAAATGAACATTACGTAGATATACATTAATGAATACAACATTATACAGAGAAATGAGTAGATCTCACCATTACAAAACATGACAATGAACCTGAATCCGAAAATGTACTCAGCCGAAACCAATCAACTTTATCTTCATCATTTTCAAAATGGCGACTTACACTCTCGGATGACATACAAAAAATTTGGGTTTCTTGAAATGATTTTGATGAGAAATTTGTCAAACGTTGTCTTCTCTATAAATGCATCGTAATACTACCAATCTACTTATCCACATATCCGTAATATTATTATTTTCCTGAACCTTTATACAGACTATTTGTATGGACTATGTACCGGAAAACGTTATACAATTAAGGGAAATACTTTTTTATTGGATTAAAAACAAAAGACAGTATACGAAGCGAATTAACGTCTCTATAAAACGACAAAGACCGCAGTAATGTTAAACAACGCTATAATTGGGATTGGCAGCCATCAATGTTATACGGTAATGTAATTACTGCAACCAAATCCGATGACGCGACGTTTTCCATCCGCCGTAGTTGTTATTTCGTTATAGCACGGTGTTCACATTTCCAGAAAATCAGTCCTGTATGATAATATGTGTAGTACAATCGATGTACGCACATCCCAGTAACATACATTCTGCAAATAAGGAGGGAGGGAAGGGGAACTTGCAAATGTCTTTTTTTTACATTGCATATAATTATTGCGGACAAATGAAAACAATATCGAAATTCGCCTTTTCAGTTGGAATTGTTATCGATGGATAATGATTTTTCTCGTTACATTCATTTAATTTACGTTTGCACGAATCATCTTATAATCACTGCACGTATTGATCTGGTGCGGTCAGTTTAGAAAATATGTTTGCTTAATCGTATCTTGAAAACAACCACTCGCTCATTCAGGGATCTCGTTAAAATATCAGAGATCTAGATCAATTGCTTCATTATATGCACATGACTGCATCCGAGGATCCATTTGAAACAGTGAGATTAACACGGAATCCATACATGGTAGGCATAACCAATGAAGGGAACAACTATGCTTTATTCATATGTTGTCCAAGCTATGAGCGTTCACGAAACTAAACAGGTTAGACGAAATACCCATTCTCCCATAATTCCTGAATAGAGTTGAAAACACACAATTCCTCTTTTAGAAACGTAAACTAGCCGCTGCGTAACACATCACTATATACTGTGGACACCCGTGACAAATATTCTAAATTGGCAACTGCAACTACTTCAAAAATCGGCTTCTTTCCTACTAACAATTGTACCACCCACCATTTAACCACTGTGTTGCAAAGATTACACGGCGTTACGGAAATTACACTAAGCATGTGGCCTGAACTTGCACTTATGGGCACAATTGGCACTTATCGCAAAATATTTGAACAAAAAAACAAACAAACGAAGTTATTCCATTTCCACAGCTTGAGAGCTTACATCGCATGGTGTAGAAACAGCGTTTTGTGACTTATTACCAGAAACAAGACCAATTCTCTCACGTTTTCACAATGTTAGCTTTTTTTAAGTTAATGTATAGAACCACATACTTAAGTAAACCAGAGGTCGGTAAAACTGTCCTTGCCGATTGATGAGACTAGAACAACAATTCATGTGAAAGTGTCCTCTTTGTTTTGGAAACCCCGAATATAATTCAGTGGATTTAATATATTTCTCCATTCGCCCAGTGATACGTATAATGACGGGTTTTAAATCTAATTTAATATTAAATTCTAAAATTACAGCAGGGGTTAGTTATTGACATTTTTATCATCTTTAGTTTAAATTATTCGCGATTCATATATTTTTCTGAATTGTATGAAATGAACATAATTAGGAACTAACTCCCAATCCGGTCACTTTGTTCTATACGTGTATATCTAAAACCCCAATGTTTGAAACGACGGTGGTGTTTTTTCGTCAAAGCTTCTAAAGTGTCTTGACACAGGAAATTAAAATCCCTCCCACTAACAGTGTTAAATGCGTTCAAATTATAAGATACATTGCGCTGCCCGTTGAATATATTTCGAAGTGAGATAATAATATCTTCAATCTAAAGGAGTCATTGTATAAAGACTATACAAGAACACCAGAACGTTCTTTCTTTGTACGTAATATGATGTGAAAATGTGCAGCACTATATTGTCACAGCAGGCTGGAATCCACGTGTGTAATTCGTTGTTTCTCAACATTCATAATAGCCGGTGTCATGGGCGTAAACTTGCGAAATGATAACTATTCAGAAAGATAGCTAAGTCCCATAGAAGAACTTACTTAAAAAACGTGTTTTGTGTTTAATGGAAAATATCATCGTCAATCATATATTTATTTGTAATAAATCTGCAAAATATGTATCATTTTTTTCGAGATACGTCATTCAAATAAGCCTTTAATCCAAGCCTTGTTATTTACTATGTAAGTTATTTTTAGATAGATCAATGCTCCAAATATAAATCCGATATATAATACTTAATACCCATAAACGGCTCTCTAATTATGCATTGTTTATAAAATTTAGTGCTAATACTGAATTGATTAGTCACATGATGAGAACGGATTCTGACAATGATTCATTATGAGTGTCTTTTTGAATTATTTTGGCACACCATTAAAAGACGCACACGTGCTTTCGTTTTTTCAGTATCATCACGATACAACGGCGATAAAGCTCGTGCCACCAAAGCGACGCATGTTAATAAAACAGCCTGTTATGGCCTGTTATTTAACTTGAGTGTGAACGCTTTGTAAATGCAGGGAACTGTGAAAGAATATCTTGAAAAAAAGAAAGAAAGCAAAATAAATTGCTGAAGGAAAAAAGTGTATGTTAAAGACAAAAAACCTAATTTCTCTATCATTCTGTTTTTGCTACCGTGATTTTGACATAAATTACGTATTGATTTGCCAAATTTGAGTTATTCACGATTGCTGAAGTTTGGTATTAGCCAGCACACGGACTGCAAAATGCGCGCAAAGTGATACTTCTCCATGCCAAGGTAAATAATAATGTAAATAATAGGTAGTCAAACACATCCATGCAACCCGAGCTTCATAGATATTGTTTATACTGGAACTACGCAGACTCAGGTAGAAACCGAAATACATATGACTCACCTTACACCAAGTCTTGCTCTAATATCCTATATCAGAAAAACGATCTTCGAATAATTCGAAGACTACCAAGCTACTGTCTGAATGTTAGATGTTTCCGGCAGAGAGTCTCAGCGAGTAATGCTCGAGTAGACCGCACGGCTTAGTAGATGTAAGTGAGCGAAAGCTTAGTATATATTGTGGGCACTGTGATTGGATATCTTTGCACATAACCACGTGATAATTCCGTGACGTCACGCTTGAACAAATGCCAACTTGTATGACAACTGCGTATAAATATTTTTAATATTTGTATCCTCTGTTAAGACAATAATCCATCTCATTAATATTCACACATTACTATTATTATTATGTTGTTATTATTATGCAATCAAAATATATACATAATTTCTATTTAGGCTTTAATTGTATATTGATTAGGGACTAACTTTATCATATTGATTATTATTGTCCTTGCGTTGATATTTTTTGCGTCTTAAAATGAACGTGACGCTGATGCGCCAGCCATTTGCCAACTCTTCGATTATGATGCGCGTTCATGGAAATGTACACGCATATAATGCATGCATATACATATAGTGTATTGGCAGATATTATGATACGCATATACGATTCCTTAGTTTCGGTTTAAACTTAATCTTGGTTATGAGCTCACACAATATATTTGTCTATCATATATATTGTATATCGAAGAGTGCAGTACAATATGTATATGTCATTCGCAGATGACCTCAACGTGTTCTGAGTTTTAATATCAGAGCAATATCATTGTCAGTGTGATGCAAAGTATAACGATATGATCTTACCTGTGTCCGGCCGAATACGGTTAATCTAATTTAACGATAGGAATCAATCACCTGTCAATCAATTCCCATCGCTATCGTTCATTTCACTAAATTATACTAATTTATTTACTGGAAAATTATACGGTCTAAGACCATATAGCCTTTCGAAAATATTTCCCGCCAGGTAATTGTACATTTATTTATTATGCTCTGCCCTTCATCAGACAATTAACGTTCGAAACTGCGGTGAAACATTCTTATAAAATATGCATCGATCATTTATGACGTTCTGCTAGAATATTTGTAGTTCTTAAGCGTCAGTACAAGTGTAGTGATACTGACAAACATGGATAATTTATAATAACAAATATAATAAATTGGAAAAGAATAATTTAGCCTTGTGTTGTAAGCGGTGCAAAGTGTCACTGTTCATATGACATCTTTGAAAATTGAACGATTTGCAATCGAATTGATATGTATATTTGCTTAATTGCATGAATTTGGCATATGATTTTATACGCAATGGCATATGAATGTTTAAATATTGCTTATATGGATCACGATATGTAGAATTTCCAGCGCTACATTATACATTATAATTATTGACGAAAATGGCGGAATTAAATAAGAAGCAAATAATTAATCATTCATTCTTATATGATGATCACTTCATTCCTTTCAGTTAATGGCATGTTATTAATCTCGACTTCAATGAACTTGATTTTGACTGCAATATTTTGGAAGATTGTATCATAGAAATCATGACTAACCTGATAGCAACCATATGTATACAACATTTTTCAAATATATGTACATCATCATGCACTTTTTATTGATATTTTAGTTGAAGATTCAGATAATATAGATGTAAGTAAAAAATGTACGTACGTACAAATAAAAATAACATCTACGGCATCCTTAAATCAGAAATTATTTTTATTTTCCGTTTGTTAAATTTTCATTGATATCGTTATGTTAATTTATCCGAATTGAACTGACAGTTTAAACGCATATTTGTTCGATTGATTTTTAAATATCAAATATCTAATAAATTTGTCTGCTGCAATATTTTATATTAATGAATGATTTTGTTCATCATAATACTTTTTTTGTCAGAATGATATTACATACCTAATAATCATTTGAGTTTATATTACCTATTGTATTAATAATTAACGTTCACCCAATATAGGATAGCTTTGCTAATATTATTACTCAATAGTTGTATATATGTTAATAATGTCTCCTGATCGTAGAAAAACACACACAATGCAAATCTTACAGCAACACGATGAGCTCCTTGCCAACAGTCTAAAATACTATGCCAAGTAACAGTAGGTAATTAGTATAGTTGTAATCTGTCGTAAACCCTGAATATAATCTAAGTGTTCATTACACAGACTGATGATTTTATTTCAACACCGGGCACGGGATACATTCTGACTAATATATGCACATGTACAAGCTAATTCGATATGCTGAGGCACGTAGTTCATGTTTCAAGTGTTTTATTTTGCATAGCAGTCTTTGCTCGAAACTAATAATTTATGGATTTTCATGAGACCGGCTTATCTTGATATGTTTCATATATCACAGGTTGGCGGACATACGTATTGTATTTAGGACACCAAAGGTTAATTGTGGACTAGACTACAGTTATAGGAGGGCATGCGTTTAAACATGTATATTCAACAAGAGTCGTGTCGCTGAAACACCATTGATGTTTCAGTTCCAAGCACTCGCTCTTACTGCTATTCTAACACAATTAAATACAGGGACATTTAAATATAGCTGTTTGCTTAGTGTACAGTGACATTTACTAACGCAGCGTACAAACAATATCATTCACATGATGTTGTACCAGTTCTCGTGACATATGCAGTCAGAATATTTCTAGATTTTGTCTCATCGCGATAAAAGGCTTACTGTAATGATGTAAGTCGTGCACCGTACAGTTTTGGCTTATAAGTTGTCGAATCTAATCAGCTCTTACCTAATCATATAGAAGAACATTTAATATTAAAAAAATATCAAATTTTACGCATGAGATATATTAATGGTCCCGGGAGCGTAATGGGACTCTCTGTATTAATGAGCTGACTATTTGCCGAAGGTCTACACGAGGGAGACTATTGTTCAGCGTACAAGTTTTTAAAACCCGCGGAATAGAACAACTGAGGAAGGATGGATGGATGAGAATATGAAAAAAAACATAACATCTGATGTAGCCTGCAGCACCCTCGTAAAATCGAACAACAGACGCACTTTCACAGAGATCAACACATACAAAACCTTTTGTTGTTTAGAATTTAACTGTGTGATGTGTGTTTAAATGCTAAACATTCATTTTGTGTAAATTGGTAATCGGTGCCAAGAAACAGGTAGAAAAATACTATCAGTCACCTCAAGGAGATATGTACGAAAGCTTCAAAATAACATTGTGTAAACATCCCAACATTATTCATCGATATTATCATGAACCTTTACAATACGCTTCAATATTCATTTGTGAAGTTCATTTGTCCCTTCCCCCAGGTACATGCTCGTGAAATATGTACTGCCAAAGCTAAGTCCACGTAATAAAGGAAATACATATAACTGAGTTTGGCCAACACAAAGTTAGAAATTGTATATTGAGTTAGTATACTTATTCCTTCATCAACCATTGAGAACTTGATTACGCAACAAATTGAACTAATTACTATTTGGAGCTAGCATGTTACCAAGAGTAAGGGGGGGGGGGGGTACTCACCATACATTCAGCATTCAGGTAGTGCGTGTGCGTGGTCATTTGAAGACTCTACGCTTTTTCAGGCAGTTGAAGATTCCATGTCCATTTAAAGATATTTTATTCAGAGTAGAATGCCCGGAAGCAATGAGTTTCCACAAAAATGCACTTTTTGCAGAAACCGTGACATGTTTTCAAACTTTAATACTGATTTTATTATGTTTTGTCCCATGACTGAACTTATTAATGCAGAATTGAGTAAAATATGGACCCCATAATGACATACAATGAAACATCTTACGGTGTCATATTCATATATGATGCATTCCTTCCCAAGAGTCTCTGTGTCGTGATAATATGCAAATGATATAGGTGCTCACATTGTTCGAGCTATCACTTGAATCATTCGAAAAAAAAAACACGACACGTTTTTACTAAGCGTCTGATATATTGCACACGTTTACATTGATGCCACGCAAAGTTTCGGGCTCCGGCCTATCACATTATGCATCAGTGTCGCAAAGATATAATCAAGCGATTATTACATTTGGCCCTAAGGGGCCCGGGTGATCGATTCGGTTGTCATTCTTAAATCTGTGCTTCAGTTAGTCACAAATTCTTATCTCTACTGTATATCGCTGGCATGGTGTAGTTTACCGTGGCCCTATGATGCTAGTATCAATCAGTGACGAGATGAAGACTGACAATTCCCATATGAACTCCCAGAAGACGGACGATACCTTACAATATTTCAATCAGCCTTATGGTCCTAGCTATCACGTGGCAATATATTAAAGAAACAGTTAAAGTTACGGGTCTTGGAAAATATATTTATGCATAAATTTAATGACTGTAAAGTTAGTTTGTTATAGACTGCTATATGGTTGTACTTATCTGACACATATAACGTATCTGTGTCGAGAATGTAATGTTTGAACAAAAAATAAGTTGCTTGTTCGGATATACACAACATGCATCCGAACTGTTCACTCTGTCTCGTGGGGCACTGTAAGTGTAAATAAAACACGTTATCTACCATATGCTCAATGATCTAGCTCTTCTCTCAGTGATTTGACGCCCACGAAACGCACTCACATGACACTTACGTCATTGTTGAAAGAACTATTTGCCAAGCAAAGTCAACACGATTAGTTGAGTTAAAGCATACTTCTATAATTGACTTGTATTTCACCGAGGTCGTCTTCCTCATCGTCTTGTTGATGACTGTATTTCCCGGAAAGTAAATCGTAGATATGAAATATGTCGCTCCCATTTTTCTATAGTACAGCATCAAATTGCACATGTTTACCGTGGATTAACAGTGTCTTGTAAATATATTCAGCTTTAGCATATTCAATTTACAGACAATCTTATTGTAGCGCACATTTATAAACGTTTATTCGGTCTTATTTGCTTACTTTACTTTCTATGTCAGCAGCAACTATAGATTTACAATTATTTCTCAGTACTTATTTACTGTTATAATGCTGTAACTATTACTTTCACTATCCTAGTACAGCCATATCTGAAGGCATTTGCCGCAATCTGGCTACGCTGTGTGGCGCGGATCACGTGGACGGGTTTCCTGCTCTCTGCACGTAATAAGCTCGGTTA